ATTAAAACGGTCAAATTAGTCGGTTTTGACCATCAAATGTGAAACCAAGACATTTCACATGAACCCAAATCTGGAAATTCTGGGGGCAAAAATTGAACAAAATCAGTTTTTTCTTATTTTTAACGATACTGCAACCAAGCCATCACTCAAATAAAAGTTTTTAAATATTTAACTTATTTCTTTCCTTGAAATATGGACAAATTCGTCATAAAACCATTAAATTTTTAAAAATATATATGTTTTTCACATTTCAAGGTCACTCTATAACTTATATAAAATTTATCAAGGATTTGATATCTATAATCACCTCTTTTCTAGGATAAATATTTTTTCACATAGTTGCTAATAAATGAAATGAAAAAAATCCTATATAATTTAGTTTTAATAGGCTGTGAGTCAAACTAAAGCCCAAATTGCTAAACCGAAGATATATTTAGAATGAGAAGGGCCGAATTAGTCAAATTTGATCATCAGATTATCACCAAATGCCAAACTACGACTTTTCACATGAACTCAAATCTGGATATTTTGGTGGCAAAAATTAAAAAAACGATGTTTTTAATACAAAACATTTTTTATTGTATATACTGATAAAGAGTATTTTATATTTTTAGTTCCACATTCAATCAAGTTTTTTTAATTGCACAAAAACTCAAAAATAGAGTTGAAAAAAAAAATTGTTATTTCAGACTAAAGGAGAACGAAAATCATCAAAATTATGTCAAATGTGTGATCAAAACGGGCAAATTAGTTTGTTTTGAGCTTCAAATGTGAAACCAAGACATTTCACATGGATACAAATCTGGAAATCCTAGTGGCAAAAATTAAACAAAACCAGTTTTTTCTTATTTTTGACGATACTGCAATCAAGACATCACTCAAATAAAAGTTTTTAAAGTATTTAATGTAATATTTCCCTTAAAATATGGACAATTTTGGTAAAAAATATATTCATTTTCACATTTCAAAATCACTCTGTAACTAAAAAGGCTTATAAAAAAATTGTCGAGAATTTGAAATCTGTAATCATCTTTTTTGAGATAAATATTATTTTTTGAGATATTTACGAATAAATGAAACAAAAAAAAATCCTATATAATTTCGTTTTAGTAGGCTGTGACTGAAACTAAAGCCCAAATTGCAAATTTGTGTTTTATTCATTGTTAAACATTGGGTAAAAAATCCATTTCTATTTTATATTTTAATAATTGGAGTTAAAATAACTGTTTTCACAGTTTTTAGAATTAAAAACAGTGGCTTTGTCTTGTTTGCCACCGAAATCGCCAGATTTGAGTCCACGTGAAAAGTCTTAGTTTGTCGTTTTGTGACAATTTAGTGATCAAATCTAGCTGTTTTAGCTCTCCTGATTCTAAATATGACAATAATTTAACGATTTGAACCCTAATTTGCCCTTTAACTTTTTTCAAAAATTTCAAAATTTGGCCAAACTAAACCCAAAATCGCCAAAATAAGGTCATTTTCAGGATTAGAAGGGCTAAAATAGTCTGTTTTAACCCTCAAATGTAAAACCAAGACATTTCACATGGACCCAAATCCGGCGATTTTGGTGGCAAAAATTGAAAAAAACCGTTTTTTTTTTATTTTAATCGGTACTGCAACCAAACTATCACTCAAATAAAAGTTTTTAAATTATTTATTGTAATTTTTTCCTTGAAATTTATCACAAAACCTTGTCAGGGGCCCCCAGACTTGGAAATAAGTCAAACACAATTCAAAATAAGCATCGAGTGCAGCGTTGGGTCACGTTTCTATGCAGGTGCAGGGCCAACACCTGTTTTGTTACCTGTTGAAGGAAAAAAAAGGCCAAAACCCCAAGCCTTGAGGTGGTTTAGTGTTTAGAAAAGTGAGTAAAATCGAGATCAAGTCGTCTGGAAGTCGAGTCTGGCCTCGATTTCCGACAGTAATGAACTAACGGTCGACTCTATTTAACTTAATTAAAATTAATTTTAATTTCAATTAAACAGAGGGTAACTGTAATTGTAATTTTGAATCTTGCCAATCCCAAAATTGAACCGGTTTTCGGCTCCACCCAGTATAGAAACTCGCTGAAAGCGTCGTGAGGTAAACAAACTGTTAACAGTTTTTTCAGGTGACCTTCGAGGCGCGCCAGGATTGCCAACTGTGCACGAAATTGGGAAAAAAATCTGGATTTTTTTGTAAAAAATAAGATTTTTGCCACCGGAATTTCCAGATTTGGGTCCACGTGAAAATTTTAAGTTGACATTTAACACTAATATAGTACTCAAATCACACTATTTCGCTCTTCTAATTATAAAAATGACCTCATTTTGACAATTTTGATTTTAGTTTGCCTAAATTTTGAAATTTTCGAAAAGGGATATAGGGTAAATTTTTAAAAATTACTAAATTATTATAATATTTGAAATCAGAAGTGTGAAAACAGCTAGAATTAACCACCAAAACGTCAAACTACGACTTTTCACATGGATCCAAATCTGGCYATTTCGGTGGCAAACAAAAACAAACCTACTGTTTTTAATCCTCAAAGCTAAAAAAACACTTTAATTAAATCGCAATAATTAAATTTTTTTTTTAAATATTTCTTCTTCCTAACAATTACTAAAACACTAATTAAAAAAACAATGAACTTTGAAAATAATTGTCATAGATAAACTTTGATTACAGARTCAAAATTGTTAGAAAATTTTGAGTAAGATTAGTCAATTTTTCATTTAAAATTAGTGTTGGAACGGCGAAAATATGATTTTTGCCACCGGAATCTCCAGATTTGGTTCCAAGTGAAAAATGTTAATTAGACATTAGCA